CTTTACAGTCAAGTTACGACGATGAAAGACCTTTCGTGTGGCAGAATTATGATGAAATATGCAGAGGTTGGATTGCAGAAAGTGAGAGGTATAAGAAGTTAGTTTGAAAGTATCTCTTGCAGCCAGTGATAAATAGCTTTTGCCACTCGAACTCCATCTGTGTGACCTTGATTCACGCTTGAGAGTCACGCCATTGCACTTTAGTATCAATAAAGCGTTAGAGAGTTGGTGTGGATGCAGCACAGAGAGGATGGGATACAATAAAATAGTACATGGCGAGGCAGATTGAATGGGTGCAAGTGAAATGATTGCGTGGGCGGTCAGACATTTAACCGACTGGCCATTTTCAGTGTGCATTTTAAATCAATTCGTAATGGGGCTCACGAGGCGCGCGGGTGTGGGTGATTCTCCGCAGCCGTTCAAGTGTTTTGGCGGCATCTAAATGCAAATTGATAAGGGGCTGCTCAATTAGCCGTAGCGTCAAGGTCAGTCGCTGAGTGCAAGATCACTGCGTGAAATAATCAGTGACGTTCCCTGGCCCATCCCGCCTTCTTCCTCCTCCGATCGGGCGTGCATGGTCGGCGTATGATTGCATTACTCGACATAATGGCAATAATAATAGTGATGTAGCGTTGCGAACAAGTCACATCATGGGTATGTCTGTGATAAATCAAAGAGAGAGATTGCAACTCGACATGAATGCACGGCGTTGTGAAGGAATAGAATCAAAGATCGCGAACCGTATAATGTGCAGTCATGGCCATTTAGTCGTAACTGGTGATCTGTGCATGCTCATGGCGAAGAGCACTCCCACGCATGGAGAAGGACGCGCGATCGCGGCACGGGGGAGAGATTCTCAGGGCATATTCACTTTAAGTCAGTTCAATTGATCCATGTCAGGATGATTGATCGACAGATAAAATACCCCCTTTGCTAAATTAATTACTTGCCTCGATGATCACATTGGATTTTTTCTGCTCCGATCGCAACTCATACAAATGCGATCACACCTTTTTGCTGTTTTCCCGCGTATGCTACATGCGCGTATCGGAGTTCTTGGGAAGATCTCGGTGCTGAATCTACCATCATATTTTCCTTCGCACTGACCAGGCGAGAGAACGAGGGTGTCAGTTGCAAAGGATGATGTGAAAGGAAGACAAATTGCATTAATTTGAGTGTGAAATGTGTAAAAGAGAAAAATGTTGGGGTAATTGTATACATTTATCAGAAAGTATAATTACAGCTATCTCTCTGGGAAATGCCGCGATATATAGTGAAAACTGTGAAGGTAACTAATAGTGAAACAATGAACCTTCCACCAACCGGTTGCTCTATTGATGGGCTCGAGGGAGTGAGAGCGAGAGAGGGAGAGAGCGAGAATAGAGACAATGACGTCAATATGATCACGAGACTAACCCATTTCCTACCTTTCGTTCACATTCATACTCTTATTCTTCCCCGTTGTCGATCGATAGTTTCTTGCCCTCCTTGTGTGCCCAGCAAAGGTATGCGGGCACTGCAAAAGGGGCGGAATTGATGGACAAGAGAGTAATTGTCAGAGGAGAGGAAGAAAAAGACTGCACGTCTATCGAGTCCTTTAATTTCATTCACTTCTCCAACATTAATTGTAAATGGCTGAAAAGAGGCAGGAAATTATGGTTGTGGATGTGTGCGCAGCTAAATGCATTCCTAAACACAACACTTCCGGCCGCCATAATCAAATCGCCGTGGTGTCTTCATTCCCTATTACTCCTATTTATATACATGGCTGCACATACTATTTTATATAGCAGGAGATTGTATAGAAGCGTCTGCTCTTGGCTGTGGTTAAATTCATGACATCTCTCGGCGTTGGGCAATTGTTTACTGTGACATGTAATTAATGCGCGCATGAAAAGGACTGGATGGTGGTGGAGTTAGTTGATTTCACTGGCTATTGATGGGAAAAACACGAAAAAAAGTAAATTGCAAACACTCTTCCCATCACTCAATTGCATCATAGTAATAGTGATGCACATATAATCTCCACATTCAATTCCGAAGCATCGCGCCTCAAATGAAAGCGACAATTCCGTTATTATGAAACTCCTTGAGTGTTGGTGGGAATGATGAAGAAAATTCTATTTTAGGCCCTGCACACACGCTCTCTATTTTAGTGCAATAGAATTTGAAGTGAAAATGGTAGAATTGTGAAATTCTCGCAGTGTGTGTACTTTCTAATGTCCTTGATACTCAGCTAAAGGTCACAATGGTGAGAGCAAATATCGCAATGCTGCGGTAGTTTATATATTCCGCCAGATAGTGGTTAACTGAAACTACAATTTTCCATCGCTGAAATTATCAGGCAAGAGGGAGATTTTGCGATAGGATTCGCAAGCTCAGTAATTGTTCCAATTTCATGCTATGGAAACTTATGCTACTTTGAGAACATGATATCGCGTTGATGATGTACTGCTAGGGTAGCAATTCGAAATCCCCATATAGATGAAATCCGTAGAGATTATGCAGAATCTTTCTCGAGGATTTCTTGCTTTTCCCCACTCTTTGGGCTTAGTGTGAACTTTTCTCCGCTGAATACACATGAGATGATCTTTCAGAAACAATCTCAGCCTCACAGTGTTGGAATGGATATTTCCAGACAGTGTCTCTCTAATTCATATTGTCACTGGAGTGACTCTGGTTAATCAATCACAGAGCGACGCTGTGCTAAACAGTTTCTCTCTACCCTTAACATGTTTGCTGTTCTGACATTTTCATGCACGTTTGATAAATCTTGAGGCACAATTCTGCTTTAATTGATGAATTTTGAGAAGTTTTATTGAAATTAATTACCCGGTGTATGAAATTAATTCCATTAGACAATGGAATACCCTTGAATGTGACTCCGGAGTGACCTTCTTGCCTGTCTGCTGCGCGGTGCCGGATGAAAAATCATCCTCGGTGTGGCTGTCGTGCGATTTTAAGGTGGAGGAGAGAGACACATAAAAAACTGCGATGATGGGAGCAATCGATAGCGGGATTTGGGCTAATATTGCGGGGTGTGCGTGGCTGTGAAATGGGGATGAATATATTCATCAACTGGGTGAAGTCTTGGGAGCCTGGCGCTGCGACTGGTGTGGATGTGCTGTATCAAAGTGCGTGGATCGATAGCAGACAGGTAGGGGAATGGGGCCAGACGGTTTTGGCGGATATTTTTGGGGGCGGCTGCTGAACTTTATGAAATTTGCTCTAGATGTGTCTCTGCTCTCTTTCGCTCCTTCGCTGCCGCGCTGGGAGCCCGAATGGCTGGATGGTACGCAGCAAAGTGAGATGGCAGGATGGATGCCGGCGGAGGGGTGGGAAAGCGTGAGGATGTGCGTGGTAGAGAGAATCTCGATGGGAGTGTGAATGGAGCCAGCAAAGGGTGGGTCCGGGTGAAATATGGCTGAAGAACTGAACAGTGATGGGGTTAGGCCTAGGAGAACACATCGGATTTTGCCCTTTCGCGCTACAATTCACCCCCAATGTGTGTGTGGGTTAACGCATAGATTTATTGTTTGTAGGAAAAACTATATATATACAGAGCCATCAGCCAATATTTTCTCAACGATGTTTTCCTTTCGGCTTCCACCCTTTTTCGTTTGGGCACATTACAGGGGTCTTGTGCCGTTCTCGCTTAAGAAAATTGAATGAAAGTGCTGGTGTAATGGCGTAGATGAGCGTCAATATTGTGTTTTGTTGGGAGTGCGAAAGTGTATTGCCTGGAAAAAAAAATAATTTATACAACCACATCATCCCCTGATGGCCCCGAAGATCACTTTCAACTATGTGGAAATTTCCCGCAAGCGAAATTCCACGCGATTGTGTGTGTATGCGATGGATTCTCCAATGTCACAGTGTGGTGACCTGTGACCCCGGCCCAGTGCTACTCGCCGGCCTTTACCTCATTCCCGCAGTCGGAGCTAATGATGACGGTACTGGGAGGCTACTGGGCGCTGGGGAAGACACCGAGGAGCATTTCGATGTCGCCAGATTCTTGCGCAGCAGCACCAGCAGCTGCATTGACCTACTTTTCTCGCCAGACTCTCCATACTTTTACCACACACACCATGGCTCAGAGGCCTGAATGTGTGAGTCTCGGGCTGTAGCAGAACATTTCACTTTACTTTCAGACTCCATTTCACTTCTCACACATTCCGCACCTCACAACTCTGGGTCTTCGCGGCTAATCGAATGTGGAGGAGGGTGTGGATGTGAATTGCATGATAGGGTAAATTTTCCACATCGTCATCAGGAGGCGAATTCAGTCTAATGTGGACGGGTGTGCTATCTAGGTGGGTTTGAGGGGCACGAGTGGCCCTGATGCAGAAAACCGTGTTTCTGAATGGCGCTCTGAAAACTGCCATGAAATTGTTTTGAACGCTTCGAGATAGTATTTATCTCCTTGAAGGGGATCATGGTTGTGGCATACTTTTTTTTCGAGAACACTTGGAAGCTCCAGCAAGAGCGGGTGATTTCGATAAAGGCGATAGATATGGTGCGGTGTTGGGGACGAAGTCACCGATTGAAGCTGCATTTTGCTGTGCATGCAGACAATTTTCCCGGTCTCTGTTACGAGGTGTGGGGCGCATGTGCGAGCTAGTTTGTGACGGTGTTGGCAAGTTCGATCCATTTTGGTGAGAAGTGGAAAAGACTGCGAGACGCGAAAGGGTGGGTCGGGCCAGGGTGAGAGTATATGACATTGATAGGGTGCATTTCCATTGCAATCTCTACGTCATAGCCATACATTTATAGTAGTTTGTTGGCTATATGTCGTGATGTTGCGGAAAGAGGATTTTCGCTCCCTCAAGGATTCAATTGTGTTCTTATCTGCTTTTATTCTAGATTTTTACACTCTCTGACCCAGAATTTTTATGACCTTGTGAGCAATATTTGGTTAAATTTGCATCATTTCACCTCCGCCTGAAAGATAAGAAGTCAGTGCTTATGCTAATGAAGTCTCTCTCTCTCTCTCTTTGCAGATTTAGTATTCAATTGAAAGTACGGATCAACAGGGGTGAAGCAGCATGTATTGGAAAAATGCAGAGAGTTCAGCAAATCCCTATTTGAAATTAGGTGATTACGTTGCAGGCAAAAGAGGATTGGCCCCGTGTGTTCTCTGCTAATTAACACACATACACGAGGAGGAGTGAGAGATCAGGGGGGCTAAATTGCAAAGAAAAAGCCATTGCAGACGGTGAACTACAGCACGTTGGCCCTTGTTGAGCAGTTTGATTACTCTCGCCTAATTAAGCCCACACCCCCTCAGAGCGCCCTCGGGATACGATCAGCAGGCTGACGGGTAGTTGCTGGCAACTGAAGCGAGATTGAGGGAGAATGTACCGCGTAAATTTAGTCAATCAAGTACCACCCCCGGGTGCGCCCCAGCAGCTCGTTGGGGTGCTGAGTCAGATGGACGCGGGCGGGGGTGGCGGCGGGAGCAATGGGGTCATGGTGGGCGGCATGGGTGGCAGCAGCTCAGCCAGCATGGGTGAGGATGCGATTATGACAGCTGTCAAGGTAGAGCCAGTGCACGATACCGCCTCCACAAGTTCAACAACCAACGGTCACGTGGTCTACACAACGAAGCGACCTCGCATGGAAGGGTATGAAAGACGTTGTCATGATGAATAATTCTGCCACGCAGCGCCGTTTCTTCCGCGCTGCTGGCGTGCATCTATTTTTGAGAAGGGCTCCCTTGCTAATGACACACTTCTTCTCTCTCCCTCGCCACAGTGACGATTGGTTGTCATCGCCTAGTCCGGGTAGTGTACCCAGTTCAGCACCACCTCTAAGTCCATCCCCAGGTTCCCAGAGTCATAATAACTATAATAATATCTCAAATGGATATCCATCGCCAATGTCGACGGGCAGCTACGATCCCTACAGTCCCAATGGCAAAATAGGTGAGTGTTGTTCAACATAGTTTATTTATGGCCGTGTCCGTAATTTAAGCAAATCAGCCAACGTCGTAAATTTGCAACTTATTCTTTTGAGATTCTGTGAATTATATTGGCATTAACTGCCAATAAATTTCTCTTATGCGCTTTTATTCACACTCTGCTACATGGTTTGATATCCATTCATGTGCGGCATGACAAGCAAGGGAAGGGGAAGATAGGCTTTTGTAATCCACACATTGAGCTTTTGAGTGCATTTTGCATTGGTGATATTGACACTGGGTCTCGAAATAATGTCCAGAGATAAATCACAAGTGGGTGGATGACGCTGCACGTGTCGATAAATTCTTGATCGCTATGAGTAAGAGATGGAGAAGAAAAGAGTTCATCCACTCCGTATATTTTAATCAATGTAAATTGTCGGTGTGTAGAAAATGTGATTTTCCTCAATAATGAGGAGTCTAAAAATAGGCGGGAAAGTGAATGTTGCTGCGAGCGGGGGTTCATCAGGGAGAAAAGAGAAGCCCCGACGCGACCTAGTTTTTTCAACCACGAGTGAGAGTGTGAAAATTTCTCGTGATAATAAAAAAAAACTGAAAATAATTTAATTGCAGCTCAGAAGAATTTGTTTAGTCGCTGGATATAGCCGCAGAGTTAATCCCTCGAAAATTTATGACTTTGAAAACAGTAATGAGAAGAGACACAAGGTTTGTTGATTCAAGAGCAACGATGAAAACAGTAGCTAGACGATTTATAATATCTCGGCGTGGCGGTTGTATAACATAGCCAAGACAGTTTGTGATGCAGTGTTATAACAGTGGCGTGGAAAAAGCACACTGACGCGATCTCAATGCCATCTGTTAATGTGCCGGTGGATTATGGCCGGTGAATGGAAGGTGTATTGTTGATTGTGTGAATGTTTCGTTAAAAGAAGAGGCGCGCGAGTTAAAAGCGAAATGAGAATGGGAGGATGGGAGGGAAAATGAAGCGAAAGGTGAAGCAAAATGAAAAGAAAAACACAAACTGGTTTTTCTAGAAGTTGACTCCATTCGTGTCGTTTTCTACTCTTTTCCCCTACATAGTTTCTTCTTTTTTTTCTAATGACTCGCTTAGAAGAGACCATACGGAAAGGTGAGGCACAAGAGATTAGGTTATTAGAATAGGTTCTAGATATCTAATTTCACTGTATACGCTGTGCTGAAAGGCGGAAGAGATACTCGTTCTCTCGGTTTGTATGCTTTTTTTTAATTTCCACATTATATACCGCATATCGAGTGGAGTTGGGAATGTTGGAAATGAGATTTGTCATCGCCATATGGACTTGATGGGCTGCTTCAGAGGGTTAGGGCCATGGATGTTGGGAACGGAGAGGATATCATTGACCCAATAAAAAGAATTACTCCGCCTGTGAGATAATCTATTGGGATTTGGGATGAATTTATGATATCAACATAATACAGAATGAATCCTCTTTATTGATCAAGAGAGTCACTTTGTATTTTTGTTATTTCCCTTTTTTACCACAGAGCCTTGCATGGTTAAGTGTGTATTATTATAAGAACCTGTTTCTCCTCTAGTTGCTTGGTTTTTATACCATCCATGTTTTATGTGAATTGTAATTTAAGCTGTAAAATTCTTTATTATCATCCAAGTTTCTCACAAACTAGAAATATAGTCACTTACATAGAGTGTTGTGTACAGCCAGAGTTCTGTGACTTTGTTCGTATGCTCACAATGAGCAAGTGAAGAAAATCCTATTACGCTGAGCAGCAAAGAGTGAGAAATGTGTGTACGATGAGGAAAATTTTTAAAGTTTTATAAATGAGAATTAATGATTCACCCAAAACTTACAGTTGAATTAATGGTGAAGCTTAAGAATCTTATAAAGTCAATTATGAATATTCTTCCCCACATTAGAGAGCGTTGATGCAGGGACAGGGTGGGAATTAAGGCGAAATTCTGACGATATAAGCTCATGATTTTCATGGAGTCATGTTACAAGAAGTTTGCGAATTTATTATGAGTTGAGATAATGTCAAGGATAATAATGTTGAGGCAACATGCACAGCATTTGTAATTTAACATACAGCATAGGGGCGGGGGAGTGCTGTATGCAGACAGATTCGTATTAATAATGTATCTAATTTCATAATGCCAAGACACACCCTTTTGGGGATGACACACCAGACTGAAGAAACTCGTGTGTACATTTTCGCAAGAGTCACACAGTGTCTGGGTGTCCCGTGAGAAAAGCATAAATATTATGTATGGGAAAAATATGTGTGTATTTTCTTAATGTCTCTTTTCACTCTCTCGCACACAACGCGCAGTGTCTTGAGCCACCAGTGCTGAAACAAATAATAATATTCACACATAGAACATCTGGCCATCATCAGATGGTTAATGTGAACTTGACCTTATGCGCCTCCAGTGTGAATGTTTTCATGGAATTTTATCCTAAAAAAATAACACTACCGCCGTGGTATGTTGGTGGTGTTCAGCGACTGGGAAAAGGGAGATGTAAAGCGAAAATACAGGAAATTTATGGAGAGGAAAAAAGAGTCCTTCCGGTTGTGCATATTGCATAAAATAGGAATGTGTGCTGGGCACTGTGTGTAGCTCATAATTGCTGTTTGATTATCTATTATTGACTTTTTAATGAGGGCGGAGAAGTTATATTTTCGACAAATGTGCCGGGAAAACACAGTGGAGACGGCAGAGATAAGAATCTGTGTGAGAATGGTTTGGTTTTTTGCGGGGGGAAATTTTTATTTGTAATTCGTTGCAAATTATTGCAAAAAAAACTTGATCATGCCACTGAAATTCATTTGAGGGCTAAATTTTGAGAACATATTTTCAAATAAACGAAAGATATTCAACTTGTAATTTCAAGTTTAATTTTCATTATATATTCTAAGGGTAAATTGCCCGACGAACGCCACCCTTAAATTACTTGTTTTTGCAAAATGTAGTGTTCTGATTAAGCGCATGCTTTCCTGGCACTGAATTCTATCGTTATGTACAAGACTGCATCTCAATTTGCATATGAAAACATCCTTCGGTGTGTTGTCTTCACAGTCTAATAATCACAAAGTTGGTGGCTTTTTTCGCATATGCTTAAATTGCTTTCGGCTTTAAGTGCAAAAATGCGGACTTGTCTCCCTGCTCGAGGCACTTTTTTTTCCTCTCAACTGAGCTGCAATGCATGAGCGGTGAAATTCACATGCAATATGTTAGGGTAGTCCTGGTTATTGTCGCAAATCGCATGTTTTGCTACTTTGCAGCACTGCACACAGAGCGGCAAGTATGCTACAGCCATGTACGACAATTCTGCTTCAATGTCAGTGCTTCTGTAATGGGATTAAGTGTGTGGAAAAGCGGAAACAGCAACGAGGGGTAGCGCGTGATGGATAGAGTTGGAAGGCAGGGAAGTGATGAAAGGTATATGCCGTGTGCGAGGTGGAGTTGAACAGTCTCAGTGGAGATGCCGTGGTGGGTGTGCGGAAGATGCAGTGAGGATGTCTAGGAGGATGGCAGATTGAAGGCAAAAAAGGGAAATTATCGAAGCGGAATGACAGAGACCGTCACACATATGGAGTCAAGATGAATTAATGCCTCTACTGATTGTTCATCGCGGAAATGTCAAGTCGATTATATAATTTTCAGTTTCGGTATCTGACTTTCAAAGCCACACAAGAGCATCCACAACATCTTGGAGTGCGGTGTGGTGAATGATAAAAGGTGGAAGAGGATGGAATCAGTGGTGAAATGAGAGCATTAATGATCTCTTGCCTTAAGGATACAATAGACGACAATGTATTGATCTGATAATCGGAAGATGTTCCGCGAAGAGACTTCCTCTAGTCCTTGAGTAATTATAGTTGCGGAAAATCTCTGTACAATTTTCACTTGGTTGAAGTGACTGAATAGGTGTTTTTGAGATGCTAAAGAAGAAAATTCCAGTGAAAAGAGACTGAAACACACTAGAATGAATATGCCTCATTATCTCTTTTGCGTCTCTTTTTCTCTCTATTTCAAATGTAAATTCCCTATAAGCTGCAGAGACAGGGAATGATGGATATAAGAAAAAAATATGTGTGTGGGGCAAATTATCATGATGTTAAATGTAAATAAATTACAAAATGTGTGTCTTCTCAATGGGGTTAGTGCTGGAGATCGGTGAAGGTCTCTCTAATGTATTTTTATTTTTCTCAAAAATGTCTCACAAAGGGCACTTCTATGTTTTGCAATTAGCATAAATTCCTCTAATAATAAATCCACCATTCAGTTAGTTATGACAAGAGATACATTGAGAATGCGAATTAGAGAAGCACACGTTTCCGCTGGTATTTCAAGGATTACCTGGCAACAGCAGCTGCGACTAGCTGACTTGTCCAGAGTTCTAACTCACGCCTTTGAGCTTTGGCAAACTTGCAGTTATGTGCGAACCCTATTCGCCGTGAAAGAACGAGGAAGATGTTGTTTTTTTGGGGCAATGAAAAAACGCATTTTGTGAGACACATTTCCTATAAACACATGTGCAGTTCTCAACTCGCTGTAGTTTTATTTTCTACGGAGTTTCTTGTCATTTTTTGCCTCCATTCTTCCCCCCAGATATAGGCGCATATATATAGAACTTGTACATGTGCGATGGAAGTGGTCTTGGATCGTGTTCCCAACAAACGCCTTGTCCTTGATATCAAAGCAGAACGAATTCTAGAGCTAAGCCATCACTGGGAGTGCTTTTTATCATCAACTCTCTTGGCGTTCGGCATTTTTTCCTCTCCTGTGCGCCTCTTTGCATGCTCCGGAGGCGAAGAGGTCTGAACACAGCACTATTGATTCGTGCTTAGTGAACTAGAAAAGGCAATAGGTGGCCCTTTGTTGCGAAATCGCACCAAGAATGATTTCTGCAGAGGCCAACAAAGCCATGAGTTCTCTTTTTATCGTCTTACCTTTCGGATGGAGAGGCACGAAGGAATGATTGTTCTTGATTTTCCCTTTTT